GTCTGAGCAAGTTGACCTGCTCTGTGATTGGGTGAAGAAGCAGGCAGGAGCTGGGGCTCTGTGGGCAGGCTCCTGAAAACTGGAGTAGACCTCAGAGCTGACCACCTCCCCCTGATGAGACTCGGGCATCTGGGCTAATATTAGCAGAGGCCACCATCTGGCTCAGCTGTGTTAATGTGCTGCTGTAGAGGGAGCTGAGCACCAACACTGTAGGGCCTTTCCCACACCACCCATCGCCTGCTCTGCAGCCTCCAGACTCTGGTCTTGGTGAACACCCCATCCCCTGCTCCCCATCCAAAGGATGGCCCACAGCTGCCCAGATGAAGAACGGGCTAGGCACCCAAACCCATATTTGGAGAGGCAGAGGATTCAGGTCCCAAAAGAGAGTGTGGGTCACTACTGGAGAGGCCCCTGCGTCTGGAACCCTGTGTTCTAGCCCACTCTGTGGCCTGGGACAGGCCCCATCTCCTCTATGTACCTCAGTTTCTCCCACTACCAAGTGTGTATTTATGTTGATGTCTGGGGCCCTCCCAGCTGGCTCATCTCTAGGCCTGCTGGCCTGATGATTAACCACCAGGTGGCGCCGCGAGCTCAGGCTCCAGCCTGCTAGGGCCCCGCCGCTCCAAACTCCAGGCCTTAGATTGTTTGGGTTGTTCCATAGGCAAGGCCAGGAGGGCTGATTGCCTGCTGTGAAGACCCCACCTACCGTTATCCTCCACAGTGCCTCGCTGCACCCCAATTGAAGATGGTACCACCTTCCCACAGTCACTTCCCCTAGCCCATCTCTTTCCATTCAGCTCCCTACTCAGCCTATGGGCACCGAGTTGGGGGGAGGGGGGCTTCTGAGTCACCATAACTCCAGTCTCAGCATGGTATGGCCTTGGGAAGTTTGTTGGGGTAGAGCAGGGAGGATGAAAAGGCCCTTATTAACAACCGGGGCTAGGACAAGGTCTGTGAGGCCCTGCACCCCAAGCCCTCCCCTTTCCCTGGGAATCTTGGGATGGACTGTCTGGTTAAACTCCAGCCCATTCCTGCAGGATCTTAACACTGGGGTTGTAGAAGTTCTAATCTGTGATCTGTAAGAGCTTGAGGCTGGGGTCCAGGAGCCCACAGTGCTGGGTGATGCAGCCAGGGGAAGGGGGCTGCTGTGGCCACTTCAGCTGCGGGAATACTTGCATGCTGCCACCACTGGAGTAAGGCACCTGGTGCCAGGTGCACCGCTGCAGCAGCAAGGGTACCTGCCCCGCCGGCAACAAGGGTACCCGGCCCCGCCGGCAGCAAGGGTACCCGGCCCCGCCGGCAGCAAGGGTACCCGGCCCCGCCGGCAGCAAGGGTACCCGGCCCCGGGTACCCAGCCCCGCCGGCAGCAAGGGTACCCGGCCCCGCCGGCAGCAAGGGTACCCGGCCCCGCCGGCAGCAAGGGTACCCGGCCCCGGGTACCCAGCCCCACCGGCAGCAAGGGTACCCGGCTCCGCCGGCAACAAGGGTACCTGCCCAGCCAGCAGCTTGATGTGCAAAGTCTGCGTCAGCAGGCACACCACACCCGGCAGCCATGATCACAGTCGGTGTGCCCTACCCAGCAGAGCCAGAGCACCAGGCCAGGTCCACCGGGCAGTGGCACAGAGTGCACCACCAGTGGCTAGCTCTCCCCAGTGGACAACATGGGCAGAGGTAGCATGGTGACGTCCTGGGCCTGGCCACTGTAGCACACTGCGTGGTTGACCAGCGTGCAGCGGCTCTGGTCTGCTCCACTGCTATCCAGAAGGGGTCCTAGCCCTGGCCGGTTTGGCTCAGCGGTTGGAGCGTCGGCCCGCGGACCAGGGAGTCCTGGGTTCAGTTCCTGCTAAGGGCACGTACCTTGGTTGCAGTTTGTTACCAGCCCCAGTTGGGGTAATATAGGTGGCAAGCACTCCATGTGTCTCTCTCACATCAATGTTTCTCTCTTCCTCCCACTCTATCTGAAGATAAATGCAAAAAAAGAAAGAAAAAGGCTTGGGTGAGGATTAAAAAAACACACACAGAAGGGGTCCTAGGAAGTGCCGTCAGGAACAGCAGCAGCTCTGGTTGCACGTGCTTGCCACATACTGGTTGTTGCTGCTGGACACCGCAACAGGCTCGAGGGCCGGCCATGGGTCAGCTGCACTTCTATGTCCCACGGGGTCGGGGGGTCGGAGAGCTGCTCCCAGGGCACACAGTCCACATCCTCTACATTGGGCACAGGGTTCAAGCCATGGCCACCAGAAACAGCAGTTGGAGCAAAAGAAGGGAGGTGGTACCAGAGCACGCGTGCGCTGGGGCATGAGGACATGCCCTTCCTGCCTGCCCTGCAGCCAGGCCTTCTGTGGTCACCTCCATCCTTTCCTCTGCATCTGCTGCCAAAGCTACTCAGCCTTGCAGCTGCTGAGAGTGCCCCTAGTACTGCCAGAACCCAGCCAAGGGTGAGGAGGGGCCTTGTGGGCAGGGGGCCCCCGAGGGGGAGGTAGGACAGTATGTCGGGGGCCTCAGAGGCTTGCAGGGTGCAGGCGTGCCACATTCATGAGCCCAGGCTGCTGGGACTCTATCGGTGCATTACTTTCATAAAGGGTGGCTGTCGGTGATCCTAACATCTCACCACACGGAGTCTAGAATCCTACAATTCTGCCTGTCAGTGATCCTAAGATTCCACAGTTCTAATTCCTTAATTCAATCTGATAGCTGTGGATTCAGATTTGGAGAGTCTGTATAAGTTGTAATGTCTTCAATGCAGTGAGTCTTTCCTAAAAACCGAGGATGTTCTGCACCCAGGGTGAGTGACATCAGGCTTTAGAAAAGACTTCTGAGCACTGCAAAACCCAGGGGTCTGCGAGGAGGAGCTGGTTCTGAAGGGTCCCCGAGCACCTCAGGCCTTGAGTGCAAGTCAGGCTTCATCAGCATCCCCCAACACCACCACTTTCCCTTTCCCAGACCCCCCTTGATATTCTTTCCACCCCCCACCCCTAGTTTCTAGAAAGCTCCACATGTAGTCCCTGCCACACTGACTCTCCCTTAACTGCGTGCAGCCTGCCTTCTGCCCCCAGGACATGTGTAGCTAAATCCAATGCACTCGGCCCCTAGGCGCTAGCCTCTAACCCTTTTGGCCATATGGTCTGCTCCGCTAAGAGATCGGCCAGAGACCCTTGCCTGAATTAGCCAGTCACCAAGACCGGTTAACCTTTTCGGCTCTTGCTTAGAAAAGTCTTCTTATGGGTCACTCATTAAATCGCTCCCCTCTGGCCACCCTTGTCACCTCAGGCCATAATAAACGAATTACAGAATAAATGGGCAGATTGAGTCTCTGCTCCAGAACTTTTACTAGTTCCCCATTGCCTTCTGGCTAAAGCCAGACTTTTTGGGCTGGTACATAAATGCTCCAGTCTCCAGCCAGACTGAACCTTTGGACCACACTTAGGGAATATGATACGTCTCTGGGTTCTCAGGGCCTGGGGGAGGAATCCCGTCTGAAGTCTGCAGAAAAGGGACTCCTTTTCTGGTTGCCTAGCCTAGGACACCCTAGTCAAGACTAGGAATCCCGCCCTGGCCGGTTTGGCTCAGCGGAGCGTCGCCCTGCGGTCCAGAGAGACCCGGCTTTGGTTCCCGCTAAGGGCATGTACCTCGGTTGCAGTTTGTCCCCGGCCCTGGTTGGTCATGCGGGTGGCAGCCACTCGATGTGTCCCTTTCACGTCGATGTTTCTCTCTGTTCCTCTCTCTCCCTCCCATTCTACCTGAACAAGAAATGGAAAAATGTCCTCGGGTGAGGATTAAAAAAAAAGAAAAAGACTAGGAATCCTTTTTGAGCTTAGACTGGAGCAAGGAGAGGAGTGGAGTCCTCGGGCAGGGCCATAGAAGGTGGGAGTGCCAAGGATGGGCTGGGCCGTGGGCACAGAAGGGTTAACTACAAAGCGAATCTCAGAGCGAGATCAATGGGTTACTCACTGCAGAAAGAGGCAGAAGCAACGCACACAGGCTGAGAAGAGCCTGGCAGATGAGCGTGCCACCTGAGGGAAATCAGGGACTGAGGAGGAGGTGGCTATTGGGCGCTCTGGAGGGACTGCCCAAGTCCAGCTCGGCAGAGGAGGGGCCTTAAAGGAGAAGAGGGAGCCGTGAGAGGCAGATCTCTACCTGCAGGGAGGCACCAAGGGGCGGCCACTGAGCCAGGAGGCAGCCTCAGCTGATCGGCTCACCCAGGATCAAGCAGGGGCTCAGTGCCCAGGATCAAGGTGGGTGTTACCCGAACTGCACTTGGGAAGGCCTGTTGTAGGTTAGGTGCCTGGTTGGGGGGGGGGGGGGCAGACATCTCTTTTCTTCCCTTCCCCCTGCCTGACCCTCTTGCCCTTAATTTGTCCCACCAACCTAGAGGTCCAGGCTTCAGGGGGAATCCACAGGTAGTAGCCGATGTGGGCTGTGGGGTGGGGCATGGTGAGGGTGGACACAGCTTGCACAAATGCACGTGCACACATACGCAGGTCATCACGGCACCACCTGTTACATACAGGCTCTCAGATGAACCTTCCAGCCTGGGAGTCGGAGTATCAGGATGGTAACAGCCCCAGATCTGCCACTTCAAGCGTGATCTTGATTGAGCCTCCCATGTGCCTTCTCTGAGCCTGATTTCCATGTGCAAAAGGGGGGCAGTGACCTATATAGTCTTCCCAGCTGTGCTACTGTGGGGCTCCTACTAAACTGGATTCTCGAATGACGCAGGGATGTCACCCACGTTTTGCTGACCTTGACTCGTGTCCAAGAGTCTTCCCTGAGCTTCAGATTCCCATTGAGAAAAAAGTATACCTGTTCCTGAGGTTGGAGTGCCCCCCTCCTCACCCACCATGTCCTCACCCCTCTCTGCCTGTATTTTTACCTGCATTATGGGTTAGAAGTGTCCATCAACTCCCTAATCAGCCCTTCACACTCAGCACTATGGGGGTCTTCTCTGGGAAACTGAGGCAAGCCCCCCTCAAACATCAATGTGATTGTGCCAGTAAGTCTTGGTGGTAACTTTTGGCTCTGCCCCCCACTCCTAGCCCAGGAGATCTAGCCAGGCTGAGGAAACGAGGCCCCTGGGTCAAGTGACCAGAGCTGGGAGCCCCTGCCTGAGAACTCCAGCTTCTCTTCCCTAGGCGATCATCTGTTGGAGAGATGGCTGATGCCCAGAACATTTCACTAGACAGCCCAGGGAGTGTGGGGACTGTGGCAGTGCCTGTGATCTTTGCCCTCATCTTCCTGCTGGGCACAGTGGGCAATGGGCTAGTGCTGGCGGTGCTGCTGCAGCCTGGCCCGAGTGCATGGCAGGAGCCAGGCAGCACTACGGATCTGTTCATTCTCAACCTGGCGGTGGCGGACCTCTGCTTCATCCTGTGCTGCGTGCCTTTCCAGGCCACCATCTACACGCTGGATGCCTGGCTCTTTGGGGCCCTTGTGTGTAAGGCTGTGCACCTGCTCATCTACCTCACCATGTATGCCAGCAGCTTCACGCTGGCCGCAGTCTCAGTGGACAGGTGCGCTGTGCCTGAGACCTGGCTAGGTCTGAGCTGGGGAGGGAAGACCTGAACAGGTGCTCATTGGCCTTAGGAAAGAGAATGGGGGATCAAAAAGGGAAATGGGAGAGGAAAGGAACAGCTCTCTGGCTGCCACCATCCAGTCTCTGGGCACCTGCAGGGCATGCTTGAGGGGACCATCCTGCCCTCCCTCTAACTCCATTGTGAGCTTCCCCAATACATCTCTGTGTCTCAAGTGTCAGTACAGGGCCTGGCACATGGCAGGTGCCCTGTGGGTGTGAAATGAATGGCAAAAGGAATACATGAATGAGTTCAGATGTTTTATTGCCACCCACGGCTAGCCCAGGTTGTGGTCATACCTGCTTTCATGGCTTGAAACGGGGTTAAACCCAGGCTCACTCTCTAGCTGAAGTCCTTGGCCAAGTCACTTTTCTCTGTGCCTCCTGGCACTGCTCTAAGCGCTTTGCCCATTAACCTTACTCACCACCCCCGGGAGGCAGGTGCAGTAACTCCCACGGCTTCGCCAGCCCCAGGTCACATCGCACGTTTCCGTGGGGGCGCGGATGCGGGTAGCCACCCGCCCTCCCGCCGCGCTGACCCGGCGCCCGCCCGCAGGTACCTGGCCGTGCGCCACCCACTGCGCTCGCGGGCCCTGCGCACCCCGCGCAACGCCCGCGCGGCCGTGGGCCTGGTGTGGCTGCTGGCCGCGCTCCTGTCGGCGCCCTACCTCAGCTACTACGGCACGGTGCGCTACGGCGCGCTCGAGCTCTGCGTGCCCGCCTGGGAGGACGCGCGCCGGCGCGCCCTCGACGTGGCCACCTTCGCCGCGGGCTACCTGCTGCCGGCGGCCGTGGTGAGCCTGGCCTACGCGCGCACGCTGCGCTCCCTGTGGGCGGCCGTGGGCCCCGCGGGCGCGGCGGCAGAGGCCCGGCGCAGGGCCACGGGCCGGGCGGGGCGCGCCATGCTGGCGGTGGCGGCGCTCTACGCGCTCTGCTGGGGCCCGCACCACGCGCTCATCCTCTGCTTCTGGTACGGCCGCTTCGCCTTCAGCCCGGCCACCTACGCCTGCCGCCTGGCCTCGCACTGCCTCGCCTACGCCAACTCCTGCCTCAACCCGCTGGTCTACGCGCTCGCCTCGCGCCACTTCCGCGCGCGCCTCCACCGCCTGTGGCCCTGTGGCCGCCGCCGCCGCCGCGCCCTCCGCCGCGTCCGCCCGGCGTCCTCGGGTCCTGGGGGCTGCCCCGGGGACGCCCGGCCGCGCGGGAGGTTGCCGGTGGGTGGCGGCTGGGGCGGGGAGCCCCGGGAGGCGGCTGCCCGCGGCGGGGAGCCTGCCCCAGCCCTGTCAGCCGCAGGACCGGAATAAACCTTATCCACCGCCACTCTGCTGGGTGTCCTGTCTGTCATTCCCCTTCCCCCGCTCCAGTGTCCCTCCCAGCTCTCTGCCGGACGCTGCAAGGAGTTGCGCCCAGAGCCAGAAGCCCTATGAGGAGCGATGGCTGAGCTGGGACTGCAGCCCAGTGAACATCCCGGGGCAGTGACAATGGGTGGGTACAGCTTAGAGCAGCCCCCAGACTGGCAGGAGGGCAGTTCCTCTTCCATCCCTCCAACTCCACCAGCAGCTTCTAAACCTGCTTCCTCCACAACCCTCCACAACCCTTCACCAAGCCCCTTCTCCCTTCCAAGTCCTGTCCTGGGTTATTTATTAAGCATTTACTATGCATCTTCTGTGGGGTTACATTCTTCAGTCTGATTATCCAAACAGCTTTGCAGGGTCAATATAATTCCATTTTACAGGTGTAGAAATCAAGAATCAGAGAGGTGTAGTGATTTACCTCACGTCACATAGTGTTTGGCAGGAGTTGGATTCAAACCCACTGCAGCCTAACTTCTCAGTGGAACCTCGCCCTCCACCTCTGAGGCCTCTGCTCTCAGTTTCCATGGTTTCCAAGGGTTTTTTCTTTTGTTGTTGTTCTCCCTGATTCCACATCAGCCTTCTTCCCCAAACCCACAGCTCTCCAAACCCTGATTGGATGACTTGGACACTTCAGAGTGCTCACAGTCCCCTTCCTTACGAGAGTGTTCAGATACTCAGGCCAGTGGGTCCTGTGGGCTCCAAGTCCTAGGCCCACTGCCTGGCCCAGACCCTTCGCATCAGTCCTTGGCATTTGGCCCTGTCCCAGCTGGCCTCCCAGGAGCCCTGGCTGCCCTGTGGCCCCCTCCTTCCCTTCTGTGGCTGTGGAAACCTCCTAATTAACCAAGAAAGCAGAGCCAACCACTTCCCTCCCCCTCTCCTCCCTCACCGCTCGCCAATAATGTTGATGAGCTTCAGCTTCTGGCTGGAGCCTCCACGTCTCCCCAGCACACCTTCTGGCTGCTGGGCACCCTGGGAGGGCCCCTCCCTGACAGAAGGCAGCTGCTGAGTCCTGGTCACTGCCTGCCACCTGCCACAGGCCCAGGGGTCACAGTGGCAGTCACCCTTCACAGGGGGAGGCAAGGACCCGGCTGGGGGAGTAACCGCTTTAGCAGCGCACAGGGCCTGCCACCTGGTCCAGTGTTCCTCCCGTGTCTCTGCCAAGGTTCCACGGCTGACTCAGGCCACGCAGGGGGAGTGTTTCCGGGGGGCAGCAGGTGTGATGCTGTCGCTTCCACAGCACCCAGCATGGCCTCTATCTCCCTGTGGCGCCACTCACACCTCCACTGGCTCATTCAGGCCTCATGTCAACCCTGGCAGGCAAGGAATATTACTTCCATTCTCAGAAGCAAACGCTGAGGCTCAAGGAAGTGAGGTAGCTTGACCAGAGCCGGGTAGCAAATTTGCGGCAGAACTGGTATCCTACCTGGGCCCCAGGGAGGGCTCTCCCGGCAGCCCGGGTGGTAGCAGGAAAACATCTCTGAGCATCTGACCAAGTTCGCTGCAACAGGGGTGGGTGCCCAAGTACAAGAAGGGAACAAAATCTCCCAGCTAGGCTGCTCCTCTGCTGGCACCTCTGTAGGCAGGGACAGGTGACCTACTGGGCCTGGCCTCCATCAGCCTCCATTTGGATTGGGCAGAAGACAAGCTCACCCAGCCGGAGAGGCAGCAGAGCCTGAACTGCATGAAACTCCAGGCCCTGGGGAGGGGTTGGTCAGTGGAAGCCCTCCAGTGGCCTGGTCTCTCCTGAACCGAAGATAGTTGTATAGCCCAGGCCTCTGGCTGGACTTTGAGGCCTCCTACTTCTGAATAGGTCTCTTTTGTTGTTGTTGTTGTATTTATTTATTTATTTAATTCTCACCCAAGGACATTTTTGCATTTATCTTCAGATTGAGTGGGAGGGACAGAGGGAGAAAGAAAGAGAAACATCACCGCGAGAGAGACAAGTCAAGTGGTTGCCACCCACACAACACCAACCGGGGCCGGGAACTAACTGCAACTGAGGTACGTGCCCTTAGTGGGAACCAAACCCAGGCCTCTCTGGTCTGCAGGCCGACGCTCTAACCGCTGAGCCAAACCGGCCAGGGCTGAACAGGTCTCTTTGGCCCATCGGAGCCAAATAAAGAAGCCAGAGGCCCTGATTAATGGAGGGCAGCACAGCCTGGCCCAGAGCAGGTACACAGCAGGTGTTCGAGACATGAGGACAGAGATGCTGGGGGAAGAAACACGTGACCTGTTCCTTCCTTCTTTCCGTTATCCCCCAAACATGTGAGTCCCTGCCCTAAGCTAGGCCTTTTGGGGAAAATGACGGCATGAGTTTGATCGGTCTCCTCCTCCAGGGGCTCTCAGTCTAGCTGAAGAGCCAAACACTAAAGGAAGTCGGACGGCACCGTGTGATGGGGCCATGCGAGGACACACACAGCTCGGAAAGGGCCCAGAGCCGGGCACTTCTGCCTCCCTGGGCAGGCCATGCAGGAGTCCCACAGAAGGTAACAGTTCATATGCATTTTCCTGGGAAAAGGTGGGAGGGGCCCTCAAGGAGGGACAGCCTGTGCCAAGGCAGGGTACAAACAGGAGTAATGAGTGGGCTCGTGCCCCTGACGCCGGGCAGGTGAGGTCCAGGGAGGCCGGGCAGAGGGTGCAGTGAGGTCACGAGGGCCTCGCAGGCAGCTGGTGCGCAGGCTCTTTCTCCTTCAGGCAGGCCGTGCCATTGCAGGTTTTTAGGAGGGGAGGGGTCCCCTCACACGGGTGGTCAGAAGGCCCACAGGGTTGCAGTGCAGAGGCTGGGTGAGACGTGCCAGGCTGGCAGCAAGGAGCCCAAGTCAGAGGCTCCTCTGAGCCCTTGGCCAGGAAAGCTGCTGCCAAGGGCCTGGCCTGGGGCTGGAAAATGATTTTTGCTATGGCTTTGGCAAGAAGATTGATGGCCTGCTGCTGGCCCTGGCCCGGCCCCAGAGACACTGGTCTGCTTCAGGGGCTAATGAAATGCTTGGAAGAGCAGATGGTCTTAATACAGCAGGGCCTCGAATAACATCAGTGTTGTCTCATTATAACATTGATGAGATGCCATGGGAACTTAACTCCAGTTTATATCAATTAGCCTATAATAAAATTGGTTTCATTATATACCACTTTCGCTTAAAGCCACAGCGCCTGTCGACGATATTGAGAACTTACTGGACTCTGGTTAGGAGAGCTGGGAGTCCTGTAGGGCCAGAGGCAGGCAACAGGGGCTGGAGTGGAGGCTGGTGAGTCCTGGCTGCTGCCCCAGGGTCCAGGAGAAGCTATCAGACCTGAGCCCCTTGCAAGGCCTAGGCTCGGCCTGGGAATAAACCCTATTCGTTGGAGGGAGGTTTAAAGTCTGCATTCCTTTCACGCTCCTGTTTGTGCAAACGTGCAGACCTCTTAGGGACCAGCCTGCAGCAATCTTGTCTGAGCACCGGTAGGTACAGGGTCCTTTGCAGGAAAGAAAGACAGGCACAGGGGATTGTGGGAGTCCAGAGGAGGGCCCTACGCCAGCATGGAGAGGCAGAGATTTCCTGGAGGAGCTGATGCTCAGGCAAGTCCTGAAGTGGGAGTTGGTTGGCGGACGGCGAAGCGGGACGTGGAGGAACATGTAATGGCCGCCTGGACTCAGGCACAGCACGACCGAGGGCCTGGGCCAGGGCACGTGGGAGCCCCAGCAAGGAGAGGTAGGGGCAGTCGTGAAGGATTCTGTAGATTCTTCTCTGAAACAGACTCCACTTTGTCTTGAGGACAATGGTGAGCCACTGAAAGGGTTCTTAACTCTTTTTTTCATTTTTTTCTTTATTGATTTTAGAGAGAGAGGAAGGGAGGGGGAGAGAGAGATAGAAACATCCATGAGAGAGCACATCGATTGGCCGCCTCCTTCAGGCCCCTGCTGGAGATCAGGCCCACAGCCTGGGCATGTGCCCTGACTAGGAATCAAACCCACGAGCTCTCGGTGCAGGGGCGACGCTCAACCACTGAGCCACACCAGCCGGGCATTACCTCTTTTTTTATTCATACTCACCAGAGGATATGTTTTTTTTAATTGATTTTAAGAGAGAGGAAGTGAGAGAAACATTGATGTGAGAGAGAAACATGGATTAGTTGCCTCCTGTAGGCACCCCAACCAGGGATAGAACCCACAACCTAGGTATGTGCCCTGACCAGAATCAAACCCACAACCTTTGGTGTACAGGATGACGCTCCAACCAACTGAGCCAACTGGCCAGGGTGAACCACCAAAAGGTTTTAAATAAAAGAATGACCTGGTCAGGTTTACTCTTTTTTTTTTTTGAGAGAGAGATGTTGAGAGTATGTGCCCTTAGCGGGAACTGAACCCGGGTCTCTCTGGTCCACGGGCCAATGCTCTAACCACTGAACAAACCGGCCAGGGCTCAGGTTTACTCTTTAGGGCACTCTGGCTGCAAGGCAGGCTTTGCTGGGGAGGGAGAGCAGGGAGGGCAGTCAGGCCGGTGTGAGAACCCAGAGATGAAGATATCTAGGATGTTGGCAGTGGGTGGGGAGACATGGGGAGAGGGGACAGATGGAACAGCCCCTTAGGAGGTACAGTTGTAGGGACTTGGTGATTGAACATGTTCAGGGGAGGAGAGAGGTGTCCCAATGACACCCCAGACTTCTGGGGCTATTGTGTGTGACAGTGGGGAGGACGAGGGTCAGGTTTGAGAGGGAAGATGCTGAGCTCGGTGGGAACATGTTGAGACTGAGGGGTCTGTGGGACGTGGTGAGGGGTGTCCACGGGGCACTGGGGCACTGGACACCTGCTACCTTTCAGGTTTATGCTTGGCCTAGAATGCATGTCTCATCTACTTTATTTATTTTGTTCAGAGAGAGTGGGAAGGAGGGGAAGGGAGTGAGGGAGAGAGAAACATCGATGTGAGAGAGACACATTGACTGGTTGCCTCCTTCACGACCCCGACAAGGGACGG